ATCCACAGGCTCCATCTACAAGCTGAACAGCTTGCTGCCCAGGTTCTCCATTGGCTTGCTGGATTGTGTTAGATGGGACCAGCTCGTGCAGCGCAGCAGCGTTAGAACCTCTACAATCCGGCTGACCAGTCGAGCATGCATGAACGTCATGAACCCCTGGAGAAAGCCTCAAGCAGTGTACTCAAGAAAGAGCCCACTTCTACAATCGGCACATAGTGGTACATACTAGTCACCGTCACAGAAGTTCAAGCCCAAGCCCAGGTCCTGCCGGCGTGCAGGACTCTCGCAGCGACAAAGCTTGAGCATTTTTTGTTTCTTTTTTGAGCCTTTGATTCTGCAGGTGATGCACTACACAATTGCTTTGACCTTGAGACGCAGGGTGCACGTCCGCCCGAAGGGGCTTATGCCTAAGCTGGTGTTGCGTTCGCGCGCGCGCACGCGTGCGTGTGTGCACCCGGCGTGTCGTACATCCTCGGCCCTACCTAGGCCATCCTAGGCCTTGGTTAGTTGTTTCACTGTCGCAGCCGCACATCCCGAGCTCTTCGCCTAAAGCCTTGTCCATGCCTTGGAATCTTCAACTGTGTGTACTCATTGCCGCCGCCCTCAGCAGGAGAAAGCCGCCCAAGGAGATGAGAAGGCAGTCACCCTCATGGCAGCCTCTGCCAGATCCACAGATTCGAGTGTCACAACACCTTATGTCGGAGCGCCGACTTTGAAAGACGAGACCCCTCGAACCCCACAGGTTTGAGGTTCAGCATTTGGCACCTGCCCTTCAGGATGGTGAGAATAGGCTGATCAGGAGCCTGCGGAGTTCAATCCACTTCTGGAACCCAAAGCTACTGAAACCTCCCTCAAGCTACTGAAATCACCTCAGATGCTTGCAGCCTTTGGCCGACTGGAGCAGCTGCCGGTGCCGGTCCAGGCCACAGGGGGTGCATACTCAGTTGCTATCAGTTGCTCAAAACTTGTTTCCTCTTCAAGGTCTCCAGGCTGTTCCAGGCTACTCCTGCCAAGCTGTGGCAAGACCTTCCATTCGTCTAGCTGCATCCAGACACGTCGCCCAGGAGAGAGGAGAGAGAGTTGGGGACCAACAAGCTGCAGAGGGTTGTATCTGTGTCGAACTTACACGACCGAGTATCTTGTTGGGCTGTCCAAGCTCAGTACAAACCCCGAGCCCTGAATAGCTTGCGTAGCTCCGGCATGTGCTCTGACCAGATAATTCGCGCGTCCTGCGGGGTGGAGCACGCCCTGCTCCTCAGCCATCAAGGCCGGTTATACGGGTCACGAGTTTGCACTTTCATTGCCCCTAAGCCCTCGCTTGCAAATCCTTTGCACTGCTTGACGCTAGACCCGAGCATCTGAACGCACCCTGAACTCTAACCCACAACCCCACGTGCTCGAACAATGCTTTTGCTCCCAGATCACGGATGGGATGAATTGGGTTCGTTCAGGTCTTTGGGCAAGGAGTTTGGTTGGGACTCAGTGTTTGTCGTTTAGCCTTCTGCCAGGGCGTTCCGCCGGAGATCCAGACCCCCGAAGTACTGCGCCTGCCAAATCAAACCCATTGCAGACCCTGAAACTCCAACAGGCCTCCATATCATTTTCTCTTCGTTTGCCGTCTTGGCTTTCAGCCTCCGTGGCTCTTCCGCTTTATCGAACTCTTCTGACGAGATCAGAGAAACCGCAGAGGCCCCGCGCTGGTGTATGGAGACATTGCGGGACTGCCTTGCCACAGTGTCTAAAAACCGTATCCTAGCCCTTTCTAGTGCTCGCAAGCACTGTTTGCACATTGCACACACAACCCGTCATTCGCAAGGACCTCCACGTGTCCTTTTCTGATAAGCACCAGGCGTCTGTAGGCACAAACTGTGCGTCTCCAAGCTTTGCAGACGCGCGCACTTGTTTTTAGTAGGGCTTTGCTCCACAAGCAACCTCGTCAACCGTTGCCAGACCCGTGTGGACTCCTTGTGACGTTTTTCATCGTAAGCAGCGGCACTGGAAAACGAAAGTCTTTGCTCATCTCCAGAGCCTAGGAAGTATTGCAAACAACTATGATAATGTCGATTTTGGGGTCTCGATATTTAGGGCGTAAGGAGGCAATGCATCAGTTGGAGTTCTCAGCGAACGCCTTCAAAAAGGCTTGTTTCAGACCAAGCCCCCGTATTCATGCCATGCAGACTTTGGATGAGACATTGGGTAAGCGGACCAGTTTGAATCTAGAAAAGCAAAACCTGTTTACCATGCCCACAACTCCTGCGCACACAGCTGTGAGCCCGCAATCCCACGCCTTCGGCCCATGAACGAAGCGTTGAACCCTGCATCCGAACTCAAGGCCTCGTCTTTGTTTTCGGAGAGGGACGGCATGGGCAGCCGGGGCCTAAGCCCCGTACTGGTGCACCTCGCATGCAGCCAGGAGTCTTTGGGAGGCGCAAGTTGTTAGTTGTTCGAAGTAGGACGGCAGAACCTGTTTAATTTCTATGTTTTGTAAGCCGCCAAACAACGCACACAAAGCGACACGCAGCCACCATCCTACTGTAGCCGTGAGTCCGAGCGCTTCCCAGGTCGTGTCGGGCATTTTGCCAGTGCACAACCTCAGTCACACAAGTGGATGCTCCTCATCTCATGGATTTTAGCCTTGGCATTGTCGATGGCGTCGGGTAGCAGCCTTCCCTTTGCAGGTTAAAAAGTCCTTGGTTTTCGAGCACAGGGCATAGCTCGCCGGACCACTCTCAATGAGTTCCAACGCGCCAGCTCCCGCGCAGCGCACCACGACCACGCATCATCAAAGCAACGCCATAAAACACCGCGAACATCTGCCGGCCGCACTGCTCCGGAACGATGGTTGGCTTGTTCTGACATGGGCAGACGGTTGCAAGCATCCCAAAGCCATTCTACGCCACCTGCCAGAGGCAAGGGCAGCTCGCAGGGCCGGCTTCCGGCCGAATTGCCGGGGTGTCCAATTTGATGCGCCTGGAGACCGGGGCGATTCCTGGGCCCTTGACGCTTCCGCAATGGGGAGTTGCTGTTGAGCCATTCGGTCCAAAGCCCCGTAGGATATCGTAGGATGACCCCTACGCCTAGATTTGTTCAGGCCTTGCTTGGTGCAAAGCGCTCCTTTCCAGCAAACAGCAAACAGCAAGCCTAAACCCGAAATCTCAGGGTTGCCTTGTGCGGCTTTAGGTTGGACCTCGTTCGGAAACATTCCTGCAGCCAGAAGAAGCTGCCTGACGACATGTGACAAAGTCCGTTAAGGCTCCCTTGTGCTGTGTCGCTTCACAACGAGAACGGCTTGTAGCTGCTGTTAAGCTGTGTTTACGCCTGCACTGTGGACATCTGTAGTCAATGTCGTTTGTTCGTGTTGCACACTCGTGGTTTCTTGTCCCTCCTTTGTGTCCAACGCCTCGTGCGAAACGTACATCTACAAGGTCGTCACCTGTGGCTTGTCAACTCAAGGTTTTGCAACGACGCGCTGCGATTTGCAGCACTTTGTTTTCCGGTGGTTTGCACTTGGAGGAAAGCGCCGCTTCATACATGCCATGACTTGGCTGCCAGAAATGAGATCCTCCATCGTTAAATGATAAATTCTGCTAAATCCCAGAGCTACTCGTAGTCGGAATCCGGAATCCTAGTTTCTCTCAGCGACGCCACCTCCAGAGCATGTCCCGAGGCTTGGCCTCGGGAGCGTGCGCTTCCAAGCTACGGTGCTAAGCAGCGCTACTGCTACATTCTGCTGCTCTCTTGCTGCATGTTGGATGTGGGTTTGTCAGGGCTTTGTGTCGATGAGCCCCATGGCTTGGTGCCTGCATGTGATGCTTTTAAAGACAATGGATACTTCATCATTTTCAATCGCAATGGTTGGCGAATATCGTGCATTCTCTTGGCACTGCGTACCATGTCGTGCGAGCCTTTCTCCAAAAAGGATTGTCCAAAAAAAACCGTGCCAAAAGAGATGGGCCTTGTACACCACTTGTATTCAAGATGGCCAAGAATGATCCTATGCAACTTGAAGTCGGGATACTGAAGCAAGCTGCAAGAAGCAGACGGGCGCTTATCCAAAGGCCGATGGCACACCCGGAGCCCTGAACCCAGATCCCCAAGTGCAGGTACGAAAAGCGTCCGTGCCCACCTGTGTGGAGGTCGGATCGAGGGTTTGGGAAGATCTTTCGGGGCCAACTTCACGCCCAGTATGCTTCTTCGAAAGGTTTCACGGGGTGTTTTGATGTGTTTTGGGTTTCGGGGCCTTGAAGGGGTCAAGGGCATACGAGCCTCAGGGATTCGTGAGTGCCAAGGCAAAGGCAGTTTGTTAAGGCTTCGCTGCCAGCCTAGGACTTAGAGTCTTGGCAGCTTGTTTTTTGGGATCCTTTAAGGCTCTAGTTGTCGGTTTGGACTCGGTTGTCTTGGGCCTACGTGGAATGCCTCAAGCTTCCACATTTCACCAAGGATCAGGGATCTATAGAAGACAGTGCGTTTGTAGAGCAGCTTTCTAGGGTGCAACAGGCCTTCCCTCCCAGACAAGGTTTTGTCTAGGCAGTGTCTCCAGCGACTGCAACCGCTGTGCAATCTATTGCAAACTGTCAGAATTCGGCACCTCAAGATTTTCGGAACCTGTAGTCTTCAAGCCGTCTTTCCTTCGGTGCCCTACTCATGGGTTAGCACGCGGGCTTGTGCGGCTTGGGTGTTAGGAAAAGCATGTCAAGCCCATCATGCCTCTCGACGCTGTGTGGTACAGCTTCTCCAGCGGCTCAGGCTTGATACCTTGAACTCATGTGCATTGGCGATGATGCCTGGATGAGGGTTTAGTGTTCAGGGTTTGGACCTCGGTCTTGCAATGTGATAGCCAGAGGAGAGCAGAAAACAGGCTGTGGTCTAACCCCGTGACACATTGACTAGCAACAATACAGGACAGTGCACCATACACCAAGCAAAAGCAGCGCCCCGCAAGGACAAGCAACCTTTCCCTCTCGACCATGATGTCATGAGAAACTCTGCAGGACCCAGCCATGTCTGTACCAGGTGCTGCAGCATGTGCTGCCTTTGCCGTGGGCTTGGCCCCGGACCTCAAGCAGCGTGTAGAGATTATGGCGGAGCATGTTTCCAAAAACGGGCCGGACTTCGAGAATACGGTGCGGAGCAAGAATGGCCAGAATCCGCAGTTCCAGTTCTTGGTCGGTGGGGAGGGCTCGGAGTACTACCTGGCACTTCTGGAGTCCCACCGGCCAGCTCCGGCAGTGATCGAGTCCACCGCGAGCCCTGCGGAGCTCACTGGGCTCATGAGCCGCTGGCCGACTCCCGAGGTGATCCCTCTGAGTCCTGACGCCGAGAGGCCCAAAAACCGTTGGGGCTCACGGTCTGCTTAGTAAGGCTCCCAGGGGGTCAATGAAGGGTACTATTGTCAAATGAAGGTTCAGGATGTGAGGAGAGAAAAGAAAGGGATTCATAGACCCAGAAGCACTACAGTGCGCCATCAACTACACAATGCTGGATCGCTTCGGTCGAGTTTCTGTTTAAGATGAGGCTACTTAAAAAAGAAGTTCTTGTTACCGGGCCTCCTTCAAAATAGGGTTTCGAGATTTGCCGCTCTTGGGCCAAAGCGGAGTGGCTTTTGTCCTCGAAAGATCTAGAGGCAGCTGTCGGAGATCCTCAACTCACTGGAGCGAGTCTCCTCTCGATCCTGGGCGGGGTTCAGTCTGGCTTGCTGAATTAGGGGGATTCGTGTCGAGGGCTTTGGACCCAGGTCTGCGCGAGTTCCAGGAAGGGCAGGCTTAATCAAGCTTTGCGTGCTCCGCGCTGAGGAGAGGCCGTGGCGAACGGCAGGAGCTGGATGCAGGCCACCAAGCCGCCGCCTACCCCTCACCAAGGATGTTTCATCTGAATTGTCATCTCAGCTTGTCATCTCCATCACACACCACGGTCACCACTAGAATATCCTAGAATAGAGCCATAGATCAAGCCAGGCAGTGGTCTTCCTATTAACTGATTGCTCTGCTCCATCAGAGCAAGCCACCCCAGAAGAACATTTAAGGTTTCAGGTCGGTTTGCCGCTGCGTTTTGAAAGGCTATCCTCCACATGCTAAGGAAAACAAATTCCACAGAAATATCCCCAAATAACATTATGTACATATGCATACCAAAAGAATTGCAAAACGGGCCACAACAAAGTAAAAAAAAAAAAACTCGCCAGCTCCTCAGACCACGGCTGCTATGAGTCATGATTTCATAAATTGTGGTCGTGTTATGGTTGGTCTTGTTGGGCTGGCATTGGTTATACATAGTATAGTATAGTGTGTGTGTGTGTGTGTATAAATATATTATATATATATATGATGTACATATGAGCATGAGTAAAAATGTCAACTTATCAACGTATAAACATATAAGAAAATGCGCAAATGCGCTGGGAAGCTGTTATGTATAGCAGAGCGAAGTCGGCTTATGCATGTATTATGTGTGTTTATACTCTATGATACTCTATGTATATGTAGAAAAGATTATACGTAGCTTTGTATAGATATAGCCATGCGGGTGTATGCCCTAAGAAGAGCTGTCACTCGAATTCTCATATGCTAAATCTGTGTGTGTGTGTGTTTTTGTTTTTGTGCGTGTGTTTGCTATTGGCTGCGCAAAACAGATTGCTTGCCTCGTGACAGCCCTGTGAGTTCTGTGTTAAGTCATGGATTGTTGGGTGGAGAAATGTTCCGCGGACAAAAACAGAGCCCTTGCGTTACTAGCGTGACTCTGAGATGTATCTGCGGAGCATGAGGACTGGATCCTGGAGTGAAGGCACAAGAACTGATCATAATTGCATGGAAAACCCCCGTAAACAAAGCGTTGTCTGTACAGGGCCTGGACTGAAGAAGAAAACCCAGTTCCCCGCGTAATTTAGATCCGCCCGTGTTTCGGAAAAAACGTGTTGCATGAGCTGGCCTGCTTCAAGCCTTTTTAAGCCGTGTCAAATATGGGGTAAATGCTTCACGGAGCCAAGCCCAGACTTTGGGAAGGCCAACGTGGCCATGGCACCAGCCATTGCCAGCAACTTGATGAAACGGGTGGCCTTCCTCTCAAGTTCCCTCCACCGGCTCCATGTGCTACTGGGCCTCTTTAGCGCATGGGATCTGAGGCTTCATTCTCGGCTTCAGGACTTTCACTTTTAGGACACAGCTGTGCAAGGCAATTGTAGGCCCGCTTAGAGTTGGGAACTCGAAGGCTGTATTTGGTGCACGACATCTTCATCAGCGAGCTCGGCCGACAGGATGGAGCTCGACCCCTTATCTCCGCGTTCAAGCCCTGCCTAGTCTGGATGGTTCGGCCCACCTTCCAGATTGCACGATCCTCCATGCCCGATAGTGAAGGCTGTGCCAAGATCAAGAAGCTCCTGGCCATGTGGCTGGACAAAGGCATTCTCAGTGTGAGGGAGACCGAGGAGATCACGGCACTCATGACGGCGACAGACTTGCCGGCACCCCCGCCACAGACAGGACGGTTGATGCAGCAGGTCGGAGCACAGATGGGTGTGTCTTTCTCGCAGGCACAGAACAACAGCCTGGTTGGCAGTATACTCGGCGCGCTGCAGCAGGCGCCACAGCAGGTGGTGCCGCAGCAAGTGCTGCAGCAGCAACAGCAGCAAGCTCCGCAGCCTGCACCGCAGCTGGGGTTTCAACACCTACAACACATGCACGCGCAGGCAGTGCCTCAGCAGATGCCCACACAACTATTGCAGCCGCAAATGGCGGCGCCCCCTGGACACATCCCGACACCACCCGCACCTCCAATGCCAGCAGCTGGAATGGCTGGAATGGCTTCGACGATGCAAAACTCTGGGTTGGTCCCGGTGCAAGGACAGGGCCCGCCCGGCATGCAGTTGGCTCTCGCATCTGGCTCCTTGGCTCTGCCAACCGGCCCGGGCTCTGAGACGCCCGAGTCTGTTCCAGTGGGGGTCATGTCCTCCATGTTGAAACAGGTGTCGAGACGCGGGAAAGATCTACATGCTGCATTTGTGCCATACCGACCGCTGGATCCGTTCTATACGCCACAGACACTGCCTATCACACCACCCCCTTCGGGTCGCCTGCTGGATAGGCTGGCCCAATTCTACCGAGCTGCACCTTGTCTGCGTCGATCAAGGGTTCTTTTCAGAATGTAGAAGAACACAGGAAAAGCCCCATGCAGAACATTCAGCGCATCCCAAATCAGCGAATCCAGTTGCCTGATGTCACAGTGGGTAGACTGTTGTTTCATGGAGGAAATCTTAACAGGCTATTGCGAGGCCTATATACAAGTTCGGGTCTGCGCTGCAGAATGTCCATGGTGCTGCCTTATGTGTTTGCAACAGGGCCTTTAGATATCTGTGTTCACAAAAGTCTATTCTGGTCAGGGGAAAGTCTTTCTCCACCCAATCTTTATACTTTATAGCTATCTGCAAAAAGTATTTCACCCCAGGAGTCAGAAACATCTACGGTAGCATTACCATTCACTTAAGTTCGTCTCCTCAGATTCTCGTATCCTGAAGCCAGAACTTGCTTCTGATCTTGTCTGTTTGTACTTCGGGCTCAGCATACGGCGTAATAACACAGGCAGGACTTCGCAAGTCGGGTAAGAAAGTTCTAAATCCGTCGCTAATTCACGCCCGCTGTGTATGACGAACCAGGGACTGTTTGCAGACTCTTGACAACCGGCTCCCTGCTCACCTAGCTAGCTTTCGTTGGCCCGGCGCTGCCCCTCGAGTTTCTTCCTCGGCCCGTGAAGATTTTTCTGACTCGGTCCACCCCGCTTTCAACCCAATCCCGACCCAAGGTGGCCAGGCCTCGTAGGCCTAAGCATACCCGAAACTCGTCCCCACCCCACCCCACCCCCGGCCCAAAAAAATAATTATAATAATTATAATAATTATAATAATTGTAATAATTATAATAATTATAATAATTATAATAATTATAATAATTATAATAGTAATTATTATAATAATTACAATTATAATAGTACAAACAAGAAAATGAAAATGCTTTTGGGGGGCCGAGGTGGGCGACTCTGCGAAGGCCGAGCGGAGCCGGTCACCGCAGAGGGGTGCCCAAGTGCCGCCACCGCTGGACTGAAAACGGTGCTGGGGGGGGGGGGGGGGGGGGATGAGCTTTGGGAGCTTTTGGGTTAAGAGGGTTTGGGGGTTTAGGGTTTAGGGTTTAGGGTTTAGGGCAGCATTGATGGGGTTCTTTTCAGGGGGACTTTGAGGCGTGCGTTGGGTGTTGTGTTTTTATGTGCAAGTGATACTAGGGCTACTCAACGCCATTGGGAATGAGTTTTGCAGTCGTAAAGGGCAACATACACATGGCTTTATTTGGAGGGCCTTTGGGACGTTTGGTTTGATCCCGGGCTTAAAACTGTGTAAGCCCTGGCCCCTGTGGACAACACTGTCGCAACATCCAGAACAGAAGCCGCATTGGTGAGGTCTTTGTATTTTGGACATCCAGCAGTATGATTTGGATGATTTTGGCTAATCCGACAGTGCAAAGCCCGCCCGAGAACCCCAAATCTTCAATGCCCGGAAGCACCCAATCCTCAAAGGCTTCCTCAAACTGCACAGGCTCTGGCCCATCTGCAAGCCTCTGACGTCGCAGCTGGAAGCGCGCCGCTTCAGGGGCTTAGGGAGGCTTCAGTCCTGAAATATAAACTGTGTGAGGCTTGAAGGCTTAATAACGTAAGGACCTTCGGTTAAAACCAGAGGGATGACTGACTTGCTTGAGGCTGGGGGGGGGTTTGGGCGACGCAGAGCCTTAAGGACACTTTAGGACCCGTCACAGACTACAAAGAGATTACCTCAGGATTGCCGAAAGGATTTGTTTACCAATAGGGGTTCGGGGCTTGCAGCTCAAGGAAGCAAAGAACATCTCAGTCTCTGAGCTTTTTGAAGGCCCCACCGTGTGTCGGCAAGGGGGGAGTAACCACGCAGGTGGTCACAGCTGCATCGTGACTACATTTGGTCTGCCAGCCTCGCTTTCGATTTTGCACTCTGCCAGCGACGGCGGCGATTCTGCTTAAAGAGCCCCAAAAAGGGTAAGTGTGGCATGACAAGCCTCCTGAGCCCTGTAGAAGCATTTCTGACTGCCAGGCAACATTTTCACCTGGGGAGACAACAAGAACGGGCAGCATATCCGTCACGGTTTTGCACTGGCCTGCGAGTGGTGTTTCTGATTGAACAGGACATCATTGCTACTACACTATGGCTGTGTTCTGGTTATCCTTGGCATGTCTTCGGTTTGCCTCTGTTTGCTTGTGCAGCCAGGTTGGGGGATGGGACCCTCATAGGGCGAGATGCCCCCGGCCTTGTCGGTGGCTTGCATGAAGCTTGTTTCGTGGCGGCTTCCGCTTCAAAATCGGATTCGAGTAGTGCTGCAAGGTGAAATACCCGGAGCTGCCGCCATGGCCGCTGCAGAGGCAGGCTTTGGCCTTGTAAGCACGTAGTCTAGGCACATTGCCCATGAGAATGGCTTCGTATGTTGGTTCAGCTGTCTTTCTGATACAAGAGCGCTGTAAGGGAGGGCGGGCAGTTTTGGGTTACAGAACTTGCGATCGCCCTGAATGCCTTCGTTTTTCTGCAGGCATCCGCCGCGCTGGCCAAGAATGGCAACCTGTGGGCTTGGGGGCACCTTGGGGGCACGATTTCAGTTTTGGAAGGACCGCTTTTGACTCTTGAGCAAAGTTGAGCTGAAAGCTTTACCGTTTTGGAAGACGCGCTTTTGGTTTAGGCATCCCTTGGATTCGCTTTCATCATGCTTACGTTCAAAGTGGTTTCACTCCAGCTGGTCCACTCTTTACCCGACTGGCTTTAGAGCACGAGGCTGTATTCTCCTGTCCCAAACAAATACTATAGAATCCACAGTCACCAACCTTTGAGAAGCACGCGGGCAAACTCCCACTCGAGTGAAGAAACACTCGATGGGGGGCGGGGGGGGTTGAGGGCGGCCACGGCACTTTGAAAATAATGTGCTTATTCAACCAACCAGAAGTGCCTTGCGAATGCTCAGTAGCAATTGAGTTGGGCGATGCCTTGATTGTACTCCCCGGATGGCGCCTCTGCGAGGTTTGCTGGAATTCATCAACCCCAGCATGTGCCTGGCCTGCATTGACATGCCACCACAGTGTTCAGAAGAGGTTGTGATTCGGCCGAAGAGGAAGAGAGCGAGAGAGAGAGAGAGAACGCTGAATAGCCCCGAAACACCAAATCGCACAGGTCTTCCTGGGTCACCGCGTGGTCAGGAGCTTGGCTCTGTCGAGCCAGGCGAGGCTCAGTGGCTGATCTTGCTTCTTTTTTTCCTTTTTCGTGCCCTCTTTTCCTTCCTTTCGTTCCTTCCCTCCCTTCCCTCCTGCCCCCCCTCCTTCCTTCCCTCCTTCCCTCCTTTCTTCCATCCTTCCTTCTCTCCTTCCCTCCCTCCTTCCTTCCCTCTTTACCTCCTTCGCTACTTCCCTACTTCCCTCCCTCCCTTTCTTTTTTATTTCTCTCTCTTTCTCTCTTTCTTTCTTTTTGTTTTTTTCTCTCTCTCTCTCTCTCTCTGTTTCTCTTTCTGGCTCTCACACTGTCGCTCTCTCGCTCTCTCACTCTCACACTCGCTCCCGGAGCAAAATCCAGACCCCTAAGCCCAAACTGCGAAAAGCCTAAAAAGCCAAAATCCGCTAAACACCAAACCCAGCTGCCCTCTGCAGGTGCTGTGCTGCTGCACCGAGTCAGGGGAGTTGCTGATGGCCGGGGCCTCTGTTTAGGCTTTAGGCTGGGAACTTATGGCCCGGCTCTTGGCTTCTAAGCTGTGATGCCGTCATGACATCTCACAAAGCCGTAGCTTGCTCGGCCCCCGTACCTTTTTTTCAAAGCGAAAGCTGCAATCCAGCAGCCGTCAGCACCGACACAGCTCAAAGCAGCAGAGGGATAGCACAGTAGAAACTGAAGGAACATAGGAATACGAAAGATTACTCTTCGGCCACACGTAGATGCTACAAGCCCTTTTTTGACTTTTTAATATGGATGGTAGGATGGAGAAGTCTTTCGTGCGTGGGGGCTAAAGGCAAGACTTGGGTTCATGTCCGATCGTGTAGGGTTTATTATCTCAGCTGAGCATCGGGTAAGCAAGGACAGCTATTGGGACACCCGCCTCACAGGCCGATAGGCCAGCGCTGGATAATTCTACATAATTCTATATGTGTAATCTCCCAACGCGACATTGAGTGGACAAAGCTGATGCTTTTGGCCTTTCGAGTTTCTCCTGGCAAATTGTGTTGTTTTTCTGGGCAAGTCGTGCTTGTCAGGACAAATGGTGGTTTACCAAGCATCTATTGACCAACCATGCGAACCAAATACTAGGTGAGGTGCCAATTACATGTTTCAAACACACCAATTGGATATTCATGCATGCAAATGAAGTAAGTACGCAGTATATACAGATATATTTCCACTGGAACATAAGCTGAGTTAACTAGTAGCTGAGTTCTGATTGCAAGACAAGTTGAATACGCGCCACCGGAAGTAAATGCGAATTAACTACTTGCATAGAGACCAATGTGTATCCTGCCCAATAAAGGCCATCGTACTAATAAGTCTACAAATCCGAAAATCCAAAAGACTTTAGCCCTGATGTGCTACGCAGCAGGCATAGCTAGCCTGGCCTTCACAAGGAAGAGAAAGACGGTATGGAGGCTCTCGAGCGTTCCCATTTCTACAATGCTTTCGAGCGTTTGTGAATCTGCGAAAACTTGAAGGTTCTCTTCCATGAATCTGCTCTTTTCCCTTGTTATATAGTCGCCTTCATATTAGCAAGCCGTACCGCCTTGTAGAAAGGCGTAAAATGCCCAGCACGTTCTAAATTGAAAAGCAAAAAGACAAAAAGCAAACCCGTGACTTTTTCTAATTAAAAGTCCCAGAAAAGTGTTTCTCTTCTTTCTTGGTTTGCCCGCTTTTTGGTTTTTGTTTTACTAGCCGCACATCTTCAGATGTCTGACAGAATCATAACCTCCGACCTCTAACCCGTGTCGGATCACTCCAGCTGGAAGCGCCTGATGCTTCCGGCCCAGGGTTTGGGGCTGCTTCTGTGGACGACGGAGGATGTCGGAACAACAGGTTCCCTGTACTTGTGTTGAAGCATTTCGAGCGTCCAATTGCAC